CAACGATCTTGTCCCACATGGTAATCAGCTGTTTCTTTTCTGATAATTAACTCACAACTAGGCTAAATCACACCCGCTCACACCTACATACCATCCTCTCTCGCCTTTCAACTCCACCCCGTTTCAGCTTGGTCCTTCAGTGCCGGCCACTCGAGAATGACTGACACCACCACACATCCGAGTAGAATCAGAAACATCTTATCAGCAAATCACAACAGCAACAACATTGAAAACTCATTCAAACACAAACAACCAACCTACCAACAACAACAACAACAATTAAACAAGTCTACTAATCAAACACTACCCACCAATTCAAAGAAGGTAAATCACTCACTATCTCAACCAGCCATCACTCATTCACTGACCACCACCAACTATCCCTCATCCTGACAAACAGCTCACCCTTCGACCCAGACCACCACCACAGCAACCAAAACTACCAGCCTCATCCTCATCCCCCTTCTCCAATGGACCAACACTTGATCAGATTAACCAGATCAGATCACTTGGACTACAGCTATGGCATCAAATAATCAACTCAACCGATGCTGAGTATGCCTCAATCACTACCCACTTACCCTTGAAAGCTATGAAATACTCACATCCTTCTTCTCATACCCTGCAGTGGTCGGTTACGTTCAATTGAGTTCATGGACCTGCCCTCCGCCGTCGATTATCCAGACTACTATCAGTTCATCAAACATCCAATTGCCCTGAACCTGATCAAATCTCAACTTGACTCTGAGCACAATCCATACCTCTCCTTTGACAAATTGCTCTCCGATCTCAAGCTAGTCTTCTCTAATGCAAAAAAATACAACGTTGGGTAGAGTCAGATCTATAAGGATGCTCAAGCTCTTCTCTTGAGTATCTGCTCTTTCACTCTTACTGGCAAGGTTCTTTCAATCATCATTATTTCTTGCTAGTCTTGACACCTGCTCCAATCCCCCCCCCCCAGAAAATTGTTTGCAAGGATCCCTTCACAACTTCGAGAGATTGTGATCACAAAAATGAAGCTGAGGCACCCGAACCGAAACGAAAAAAGTCAAAGCTCGAGCTTCACCCATCTCAACGCACTCACCCAATCCCCACCCCCTCTACCACCCCTGCAAATGGGATCAAACCAACACCTCCATCAACTTTTGTGATACCTCCCACTCCGGTCAACCCAGTATCTCACAATCAACGCTCTGCCCAAACACAGCCACAGCCACCCAAACACCTCCGCTCACTTGCCCAACTCAATCAAGTTGCTCTTCCTCTTGAGGAAGGTGACCCCAAATCTGATCACTTTAAGGTTTGTGGGGAGTATCCCACAGATCTTGGTGATTGTCCTGAGGGGTCACCGGAATTCAGACTCACAAGGAAGCAGAGACGCAATTGCAACCGCAACCAGACAAAGGAGCGACAACGGCTTGAAGACCTTCGAAATCATGCTGACCTGTCAAACTTCTCGGTCCACCGTCTATGCTCTAATCAACCACTGCGACTTGTTCAGAAAAATGAAATCATCACCAAAAATAAACGGGTTGGTGGGATTGTTCGATTCACCAAATTCAGCGACATTGATCCCCTGCTCTTGCACCAATTTGAGGCTTTGAGTCAACATTTACTCGAGCAATCACGATATCTCAATCCCAATGGTAACAATGGGAACAAGCTCGGTGGAACGATGTTCAATGCTGGCTGGCGGAAGGCATATACACATAACGAAATCCTTGGGATATCCGCTTCAGTTCCAAAGATATCTGGCCATGAGGAACGCTACCTGGAGCTTCAAGAGGAAATGAAAACTCAGGAGAAATTTCTTGCAACTCGATTTGCCCACCTGTCCCGGCTGCTCTATGATACTTTACGGATTCAACATAAGGAACTCAAACTCCTTTTCAGAGCTACACGACTTCTCTTTTGCATCTCATCTCAGTTTCACCCTCAACAACTTCCATAATAAACCTCATTGTGACCGAGATTCATCAACGTTGTAGGACTCCTGTGGGACAAAATGGAAGATATTTGAAATGGTAGTTCCGTGAGGGGGAAATAAATTGTGGAATAGGTTGAAAGGCTATAGATCACAACTTAAGGGTGGTTTGAAAGACCTGCCCCTCTATAGTACTATACAAATATGTAAGGAATCTTAAAATCAATATTTATAAGAGTGTGGCAGATTTCAAGATAGAGTTACTAAGTATAGTAGTCTCTATCAGACCTAGATCAATCAATACAAAAATGTGCTAGCAGATGGCTCAAGATTAAGAATTTGGATAAAGGAGCCCAGTGGAGCAAATGTTAAAGGGGTATAATTGGGATTGATGGTGTGAAAAGCACCAGTGGGTGTGATCACGTGAAAAGGGATAATAATAGAAAATAATTTAGATGGTGGAAATGACTACTGATAACTACTGCAACTAATGTTTGTTGTTGAATGATTAATACTACTAATGGTTTTCTGTAAATAATGATAAGAGGGTTGTTGGTTGCTGAGTGCTTACTAATGATAAATGATGTAGATTATTACTAATATTAATTAGGGGATGAGGGATGTTATAATGATGTTTGTTGGTAAATGATTCTACTAACTTTGTTTTCTGATGACTACTACTGTTACCCAATAACTACTAAACTACTAATTACTAATCACTACTAATAATTACTGACACTCCAGAACACTTCTGGTAGCTCAGGATCAACTACTGCTCTGAGAGACTGTGTGGATGATGGGGAAAAAAAGTCTGAGATGAGGGGAGAGAGGGCCTCCTTTTATATTAATTTTTGAGGGATTTTTGCTGCAGGGGGGACTCCCTTAGTGCCCTGGTTTTGCTGGTGCACTTTATGTTGTTAGGTATGTGTAATCTGTTGCCAGGTAATTAAGCCTTCTTCTTGGTTGTAACCAGACAACAAGCCTCCGTATCCATGATGTGATGTTATTTGCTGTGTAGACCAGAGCTTCCGTATCCATGATGTCATAGTATCTTCTGT